TTTCACCATTTTGAAGAAAATATTCAACCGATTTACTTGAAATTTCATATATGAGCTTTGTTTGACCGTCAGTGAAAATTCCTAGCTTTTGGAACAAATCAGGTATCGGAAACTGGACGTTTACTACGGGCCAAATATACATTTTTGTGTATATAAAGAGAAATAATCAACCGATTTCATTGAAATTTAATATTTGAGTTCCTCGTATTAAAACAATGAACATGTAAATTTTTTGGAAAGATCAGGGCTCGAAAACTGATCTGCGGGCCGATTTTACATTTTTCACCATATCTACGGAACGAATTGATGGAGTTTCTTGAAATTTGATATTTGAGTTCTGGTTGTTACCGAAACTAACTGGCGAGCATTTCAGGGAATTTGGGTAGCACAAAGCGAAACTCTACTAAGAGCCAAATTTACATTTTTCTAGGTATGTTAATTATAAGCTTACTAATGTCCTAAAAATTGGAAAGAAGTATTTAACAGACATTTTTATAATATTCTGTAACACTTTCACTTAACTAGACAATACACATTGCGGTCGGTTATGTGCTGACCACATCAGATTTTTACCGACCGTATTGTGTAAACAATAGGTAGGTTATGTGATGGCAACAAATTTTGCATATCGAGTTTTCGGTGGGAACGTACTTCTCCATAGTAGGGAAGTGTAAATAAACTATTTTTAGCAACCTGTCGGTCTGTCGGTCTGTCGGTCTGTCGGTCTGTCCGTCTGTCGGTCTGTCGGTCTGTCGGTCTGTGTGTGCACGCGTGTATCTCAAGTTCGGCTGAACCGATTTTGATGAAATTTTATATGTAAGTTTGTTTCCACCATGGCACGGATCGATCAACTTTTGGTATATATCAGGCCTCGGGAACTGCACTTTTTAGCGGGCCTGTTTTACATTTTTGAACATTTTGAAGAAAATATTCAACCGATTTACTTGAAATTTTATATATAAGCTCAGCTCGACCGTCCGCAAAAATTCGTATGTTTTGGAAGAAATCAGGCATCGGCAACTAGACGTTTACTACGGGCCAAATATACATTTTTGTGTATATAAAGAGAAATAATCAACCGATTTCATTGAAATTTAATATATGAACTCCTCGTATTAAAACAATGAACATATAAATTTTTTTGGAAAGATCAGGGCTCGAAAACGGATTTGCGGGCCGATTTTACATTTTTCACCATTTTGAAGAAAGTATTCAACCGATTTACTTGAAATTTCATATATAAGCTTTGCTCGACCATACGCAAAAATTTCTAACTTTTGGAAGAAATCAGGCATCAGCAACTGGGCGTTTACTACGGGCCAAATATACATTTTTGTGTATATAAAGAGAAATAATCAACCGATTTCATTGAAATTTAATGTATGAATTCCCCGTATTAAAACAATGAACATATAAATTTTTTGGAAAGATCAGGCATCGGCAACTAGACGTTTACTACGGGCAAAATATACACTTTTGTGTATATAAAGAGAAATAATCAACCGATTTCATTGAAATTTAATATATGAATTCCTCATATTAAAGCAATGAACATATAACTGTTTTGGAAAGATCAGGGCTCGAGAACTGATTTGCGGGCCGATTTTACATTTTTCACCATATACACAGATCAAATTGATGGAATTTCTTGAAATTTCATATTTGAGTTCTGGTTGTTACCGAAACTAACTGGTGAGCATTTCAGGGAATTCGGGTAGCACAAAGCGAAACTCTACTAAGAGCCAAATTTACATTTTTCTAAGTATGTTAACTATAAGCTTACTAATGTCCTAAAAATTGGAAAGAAGTATTTAACAGACATTTTTATAATATTCTGTAACACTTTCATTTAACTAGACAATACACAATGCGGTCGGTTATGTGCTGACCACATCAGATTTTTTTTTCTTATTATTGTTTTTACATTGTGTTTAACCTTATGTGGCGCAGTGCATAATGACTAATTATTAACATTTGGTTTGCATATTGAGAAGTATTTTTAAATATTTTACAATTATTATAAGTGTTATTTTGGAGGTAAGCAAAATTAACAATAATTATTATTGTGTGGTGAATTAAGAAAAGTATTTTTGTTTTGTATAATTTTTGCAATTTTAAGAACGTTTTAAATTTTTGTAAAATCAATAAAGTTCAGTTTACTTGTTATAAACAAAGCGATCAGTCGATCGAGTTAAAAATAAGAGAAAACCGTTTGTTTTATTCAATTTTAATATTATTTTTACCACTTTTCCAAAATTTTTTTGAAAATAAGTGTTATTAGTTTCACTTTGTCCGTCCGCCCGCCCGTCCGTTCGGGCACACTTTTTTTGTTTACAAAACTTCCACATCCTTGAAGATAGAAAGCTGAAATTTTATGTGTACATAGATCTTTACTAGAAATTTACTTCCGTAGAACAAAATTTTTACCTACCTCCCCGCCTCTAGAAGTTATATCCCCCCAAAACCCTAAAAATGGCCTTTTTTAACTATTTGTTGCAATGAAACCATAAGTATTTTTGAAATTTTGCAAACGCAGAAAGGCAGCGGCTTGTTTTCCCTAGCGCGGTATACTATAGTTAAACTTTAGAAAAACAAAATGGCCTTTCAAATTTACCGTTATCTAAAGTCATTTTTTTCCAAATTTTTGATGTCGTTTTTCTTCTAGACCCCAACATGTAGAAGCTTGAAATTTTAGGGGCTTTTAGACAGTAACAAATAGTTCATTTCGTTAGAAGAAAATTTTTTTCCATCTCAAGTTATCACCCCTTGAAATTTGTAAAATTTGAAATTTTGACACCCTATATTTCCGAAACCGCAAGCTTTTTCAAATTTCTATAAACGCAAAAAGTTAAGGGTAAATTCCATGACATTAAAAAATATAATTATTTTTTTAACTCACACAATTAAACCTTAAAATCGAATATTATGATAACCCCTCTTTATATTAATTTTTGCTTTATTTCAAAGACTGCATGTATGTATCATCCTAAATATATGCAATCCTAGAAATATTTTTGTATATAAATAAAATAATTTTAATAGTGTGATAGGTATACATAGATTGTATTTAAAAGCAGAATTTTCGTTTGTTGAAGGGAAAAGTGCTACAATACAAACCATTGGTTTGACCCAACTTTATTTTTCTGTGTAGTGCCTTTGCACATAATTATATATATATATTCCTTGATACTGTGATAAAAAAAAAATAAATAAAAGAACCAAGAGTATTACAATCTTATTTTTTCAACTGCGAAGTACAATAGATTATTTATAAATTAAATTTTCTGCACAAGAGACTAATATTATATTTAACAGTATAGCGATTTCAATAATTTAGATAAGCACCGAAAGTTTTTCATTAAATCTTGAAAGTATTTTTAATACATAATTACAAATCTACAAAAACTAAATATTTCGCTTTTATAAATTTTTAACATACGCGAATAATTCTTCAATATATTCTATTATCATTCTTCAAACATCATTCTATTATGATCTTCTTCGATTTACGATATTTCTGTTATAAAATTTCTTGAAAAGGTAGTTATAAAAATTCTTGAAAATTCTTTTAGAACTTTAAGCAGAAGTTCAATCATGTTATTATTGAACATGATATTTCTGTAAATTTTACAGGTTGCATTACTTTACATTACAAATTGCATTTTTCTATGTATGTTAACTTTAAGCTTACTAATGTCTTAAAAATTGGAAAGAAGTATTTAACAGACATTTTTATAATATTCTGTAACATTTTCACTTAATTAGACAATACACATTGCGGTCAGTTATGTTATAATTATTGATTCAAACAAGTAAAAACTTTTCAGTCGGTATAAACCGACCGAATTTTACCCTGCACCTTGGCAATCTGAGTCTAAAAACTTGTTTTTGAAATGTCTAGAATTAGCATTCATTGTTGTACACAAATTATTCGAACCTGCCAAACCACCCTATAGAAACTTCACGAATATTTCTGATCCGTAATTGGACACACACCTGTCAAGCTTTTGAAACTAACTTTATTTTTTTCTCGAATATTTACAATTACCTTTTGCAGTTCCGTTGTAGGTACATGAACCTGTCAAGACATTTCACCAAAACTTCAGGGATATATCGGACCTGAAGTTAGACACACGACTGCTAAGTTTCATGAACCTGACTTTATCACTTTTCCAAATATTTTAAATTAGTTTTTTGAATTGTGTGGCAGCTACTCGAAAATACCAAGCCATCATAAAACTTCAGGGATATATGTGACCTATAATTGGACACACGACCTCCAAGTTTCATGAATATAATTTCTTTATTTTTCCAAATACTTAAAATTAGCTTTTAGAGTTGTATGGCAGCTCCGTTTCATCGGAATAAAATACTTTTATTTTTGCTAATATATTTCGTGGGCCATATACTAACTTTATTACAACTGATTTTCTTCTCGAAAAGAAATAAAAAGATTTTTGTAAAATCTTGAGAATTTTAATAAAAATAAAATAAACAAGTAAAAACGTTCAGTCGGTATTCACCGAGTAAATTATACCCAGCACCTTTCATTGTTTTGTTGCAATTACTCGAGCCTGTGAAACCATTCTATGTCTAACCTATAATTAGACAAGCGACTGCCAAGTTTCATGAATCTGGCTTTATTATTTTTCAAAATATTTTTTAAGTTAGCTTTTGGATAAATATTTTGGAGAAATATAAAAATTCTCAAAATAAACAAAACTTAAAAAACGAAATATACAATATTTTTAATTTTTAAACTTAAAAATTAATGCAATTGTATAAAATTACTTCAATAACTCAACAATTCATTTTCAGCAATTTTTGGAAAAATCAATATTTATTTTTATTGAAAATAATATAAAGGTCATTGAAATTATTTTTTCTAAAAGTTCAGTAAATATAAAATAAAATAAGTGTTAAGTTGCTAAGGCTATTTGCTATACGAGTACTGTATATTATTTAGATACTTAATAGTTTTTGAATACTTAATACATTACCTTATGTTTAATAATGGCTTCAAAATTTAAATAAAGAACATAAAATGCGCAGTACAACATAAAATAAAGTGCGACGTACCAAGCTTTCTTCCCCAAGTAAACGTATTGATAACTTCTTTCAAAAAGTTTTTCATTAATTTTTCTACGATATAAAATGTATGTAATTCACTAGTTTTGTGAAAATAAAAACTTACAAACCTCTCAACTTTTTTTTGAGAATTATTTTTCAAATTTCTGAAGTTAGTATTATGCAGTACTTCTGTGCTCAATGCAGTCCCTTTAAATTTTTTACCCAACTTTAAAGTATTATAGGATTTTGTTTGAAAACTTTCTACAATGAGTTCTGGAAAATAAAAAAAAAATACTTTAAATGGCAATTTTTCTAGTTTAATTTTATTTATTTATGCATTTATTATAAAAAAAAGAAAGACTCCCATCTGAAAAATTTCAAGTATGTTAACTGAAGAGAGAAAGTAACAGTTTTTTTTAAATAATAATAAAAAATACTAAAATATTCCTACATTATGTACATAGATGTATATCACATTAATATATTACCTCGAAATGCTATATAGCTATAAGTTAAAATCCTCAAGTTTAAAATAATTTAAAAATCATACTATTTTTTCTTCTTGAATATATTTTTTGAAATATTAAAACCAAATAGCAACTAAATTAAATTAAATAGCAACTAAATCGTAACACACCCAACAACAAGCTGCTCTCATAATTTGTGGAGGGAAGAGAGCATTTGCGGGAAATAAACTAAAGCACAATTGAAATTTTAGCAAAACTAAAACACTGTTATGAATTCTTGTTATCCCTCTAGAGGACATAAGGCTTCAACATGGTTTCTCCTATTTTCTTTGGTTTATGCTCATCTACACATTTCTTCATCCTTGGAGGCGCCATTACCGGTTACCATGACGCGTAACCGATATTATTGGACGTCTTAGAATGTGGCCGATCTATTTAAATTTTCTTTTTCTTATTTGGGTCTCTATTGTATACTGAATCGTTATCAACCACACTTCTTGGTTTTTAATATTGATATCGAACGAATATTGAATATATTTTAGTGTCGAATATATGGAATACTAAAATTCAGAACGAATTTAAAGTTTTTTTCCACATAACAGATAGTGTATACCAACCATAATGGGTATGTTTTGCAAATTTAATTAGGATAAATTAATGTTATATTTTTGATATAATATGAATTATGTGACACTTTATGAATTTAAAATTATCACGTTTTTTTTTTTTTTTAAATTTTCCAAAACTTTTAAATGTCAACGGATTTACGCTATATGTTTTCGTTTTTGTTTCCGTACTCAACCAAACGTTTATTTAAATGAGAGTCCCAACGTGCAAAGTACGCACCGTACTGTACATGTAACAGTTTTTTTACTTTTTTTTTACTTTTGAATTTTTGTCAATTGTCATTATATATATATAGCTACTTCTCAGGTGGTAAAAAGTACGGGTACTTCTAGAAGGGCTAGAGACATGGAACAAAAGGCATTAGATAGAGTTTTGCCTCCAGGGTCCCAGAAAAATCTGACATTGGAACTTTTTAGCCCCGAAATAGCTCTATTTTAAGATTTTCTGAAAAAATTTTTGTATAACAAAAGCACGTTTTTCTTTTATACTTTTTATAATTAGAAACACAAACCAAGAAATAAATGATACGTTTTACGTTATTTTTATTATTAAAAACACAAACCGAGAAATAAATAATATTTGAAAATATAATGATCTCACATATTTTTGTTGCGGATAAACGAATTAATCTTAACGTAAATAAATGTCAGCTTTTATCAGACATCAGATGTTTTGTGACATCTGAATATTAATATTTCATTTGTTATTGTTTTGAACATTACGTTTCGTCAGCAAGCTTTAAAAAAATATATGTACATACAGAATATATGTATGTACGTATGTAGTTAGAATTTTATTTTTATTGTTCCAAACGGAAAACTGTAAAATGCTAAATTTTAATACATTTATATATACATACATATATTTGAATAAAATTATTATTTTGTTTTTGCCTAAACCTTTTCTTTATTTAAAAAAATTACATTCATATGTACATATATATATTTGAATACAATTATTATTTTATTTTAACCTAAACCTTTTCTTTATTTGAGAAATTTATTTCTATATGTTCACCCGCAGTTTTAAAAAAACTAGGTATACATTCATAAAAACGTGTGTTTGTGTTAATAATTTTATTTATAATTTTTCCAACAGCAAAATTTCAAAATTTTCGATTCTAATACATTCATATGTACATACGTTCATATGTTGGAACGGAAAATTTTAAAATCTTCAATTCTAATCCATTCATATATACATACATACACACATATATTCATATATACATTCATGCACATATTTTTACATACATAAATTATTATTTTGTTTTTGACTAAACCTTTTCTTTATTTGAGAAATTAATTTTTGTAAGTTTACCCCCATGATATAATAATTATGCGTTTAAAATTTATTTCTATTTATTCTACAGTTTTGAATATTATTAAATTCATATAGAAAGCTTAAAAAAATTACTCAGTAAGCTTTAAAAAAAATATACATACTACATACATATTTATGTACTTAAAATTTTTGCGAATTTTTCCAAACTATTATAAGAATATTTTTTTGGAAATTTTCTTTAAACTTTTATATAACATTTATCAGTTATATATTAAAAAAAAATAAAACACAAAATTTAAACAAAATAAAAAAAAAAATTTTTAAAATAATCCAAAAAAAGAAAAATACAACAATCCAGGCAAGCATTGATCCAATAACCTTCTGGCTATGAGACTACCACGCTAACCACTAGGCTACGCAGTACCTTGAATTTCCCTTAATAATTCTATATTTTATTCATATATCGTATAACTCATCAAAAACCATCATATTTTACATTATATATATATAGCTACTTCTCAGGTGGTAAAAAGTACGGGTACTTCTAGAAGGGCTAGAGACATGGGACAAAAGGCATTAGGTAGAATTTTGCCTCTAGGATCCCAGAAAAATCTGACATTGGAACTTTTTAGCCCCGAAATAGCTCTATTTTAAGATTTTCTGAAAAAATTTTTGTATAACAAAAGCACGTTTTTCTTTTATACTTTTTATAATTAGAAACACAAACCAAGAAATAAATGATACGTTTTACGTTATTTTTATTATTAGAAACATAAACCGAGAAATAAATAATATTTGAAAATGCAATGATCTCACATATATTTTAATTTCGAAAAATCGAAATAAACTTAAATAAATGTCAGATTTTATAAAAGACATCAGATGTTTTGTGGCAACTGAATATTAATGCTTCATTTGTTATTGTTTTGAATATTATGTTTCGTCAGCAAGCTTTAAAAAAATATACATACACAATTTATGTACGTATGTATCTACCTAAAATTTTATTTTTATTGTTCGAGCGAAAACCTGTAAAAAATGCTAAATTCCAATACATTCATATATACATACATACACACATATATTCATATATACATTCATACACATATTTTTACATACATAAATTATTATTTTGTTTTTGACTAAACCTTTTCTTTATGTTTAAAATTCAATCCTATATGTTTACCCACAGTTAAAAAAAACAGGTATCCATTCATAATTATGTATATTTGCATTTATAATTTTATTTATAATTTTTCCAACAGCAAAATTTCAAAATTTTCGATTCTAATACATTCATATGTACATACGTTCATATGTTGGAACGAAAAATTTTAAAATCTTCAATTCTAATCCATTCATATATACATACATACACACATATATTCATATATACATTCATGCACATATTTTTACATACATAAATTATTATTTTGTTTTTGACTAAACCTTTTCTTTATTTGAGAAATTAATTTTTGTAAGTTTACCCCCATGATATAATAATTATGCGTTTAAAATTTATTTCTATTTATTCTACAGTTTTGAATATTATTAAATTCATATAGAAAGCTTAAAAAAATTACTCAGTAAGCTTTAAAAAAAATATACATACTACATACATATTTATGTACTTAAAATTTTTGCGAATTTTTCCAAACTATTATAAGAATATTTTTTTGGAAATTTTCTTTAAACTTTTATATAACATTTATCAGTTATATATTAAAAAAAAATAAAACACAAAATTTAAACAAAATAAAAAAAAAAATTTTTAAAATAATCCAAAAAAAGAAAAATACAACAATCCAGGCAAGCATTGATCCAATAACCTTCTGGCTATGAGACTACCACGCTAACCACTAGGCTACGCAGTACCTTGAATTTCCCTTAATAATTCTATATTTTATTCATATATCGTATAACTCATCAAAAACCATCATATTTTACATTATATATATATAGCTACTTCTCAGGTGGTAAAAAGTACGGGTACTTCTAGAAGGGCTAGAGACATGGGACAAAAGGCATTAGGTAGAATTTTGCCTCTAGGGTCCCAGAAAAAGCAAGGATTCCACCCGCCCTGCCCCTTCACCCCCTCCCAAGATGTTTTGTAACCGTTTTTTACAAAATGGTTTTACATCCTGTAGGGGTAATTTTTTACTTACTTTTGGAAGTATTAATATTGTATATAAATTCATTTTTGGAAGTGTGAGTTATAACAAAAAATGAAAACTTTCTTAAGAAAATTGTTTTAATAAAATCTACATTGTTTTATAATAAGTGTGTACATATGAATTTAGTTGTGCATTCTTTTCGGGATCTGTTGCAACATGTATTAGAAAGCAAAACATAAGTTTACATTAAACTCCTTGACAATATATTTTTAGGGTAAAATTTTATAAGAAAATGTTATTCTATTGCATTAAACTTTTTACAAGTAGGGTAAAATTTTTAGAACGGAAACTCGCTGATATTGATTTGGTAAGGGTGAAGGTTTTTTAATTTTATTTTAAAAAAAAATAAAATTATCAATAAAAAAAGTTGATCTGGCAAATCGCATTTTGCAGGGTTCGAACCTGAGACTTTTCGCATAGAAATCGTATGCAATACGTATTACCCCATATACGTTAGTATTGGTGTTACCTCATTCTACAGTCACGCGTTTTATTCGCATGTATACCAAATACATACGTGCATGAATTGTAGTTTATAATTAACAATAATTTATGGCTAAAAGTGTTTATTGTAGAAGGTATTTTACGATTTTATGCGACATAACTCAAAGTGAAGTTTTAAAATAAATTACTCAAAAGGTGTTAGATTTCAAAGGAACTAATTATTTGTTTAATTATGTATTTTTAGGTAATTATTTCTCAGAACTTTTTTATTTTAAGT